TCTGATTTTAAGATTTTAAATGGAAAAAGCACAGCCAAAGCATTAGTTTGTTTATATGAAGAGATTTATTTTATTTGTATTATTTGATTTGGGATATGCTTTAATTTCAAGCTAGTTTTATTATTTGACATATTTCAATTTCACAAAGAAATGTGCCGCATTTTGTTGGAGAAATAATAAAAGGACACCTTTTCATTTATATTTTGTCTTAAATCTCATTTTGTTAAAAATAAAAATTGTGAGAGAATTTTACTGTGAAATCAGTATCGTGATTCGTTACATCCCTACATGCTACTAGTTTTTGCTGTGGTATCAAATAAGTATTCTGTTATTTAAATAATAAAGAACCATGTTTTTTTGCTCATCTGCAAAATGACCCGATCCGTTACTCAAAATCTGATATGATAATGCAGTATGATCCGAGCCGTGGGTTTTGTGATCTGTTGCACCCCTACTCTCTTGACTTGTTATTTGAAGAAAAGAAGCGATCATTGAAGTTTTTAATCATGCTGATTTGTCCGCAGTAAAGTTCAGCAGATGTCTTTTTTTTTTTCGGGCTACTTAAATTCATTTTGGGCTACCAAAATCTGAAGAATGTCTGCCCAGCGATTTTGACATTTTGTGAGTCCTGCTCTTCTGGTCAACTATTAGGGGCAGCCCTAATATTTTATGTCTTTTTTTTAATGTTAAATCTTCTTGTTTTTTTATTTTCATTAATTTTTCTACATTTTGTCCTCTGTTTCACAGGGCATTGTATTCCTAGTGGAGAATGAGCTTCTTAGACACACTTCAGAGGACATTGCCCAGTTTCTGTACAAAGGAGAAGGACTCAATAAAACTGCAATAGGAGACTATCTGGGTGAAAGGTATTGTTAATTATTATCTGTGTTACATGTACAAGCTACAATTATCAAGATTTTGTGTTATTTTTTTATGACATTGTAAAAAAAATTGGTGAAAAAGCAGTAGAAGCAGTTTGATATTTTTGTTGTGAGATATGCTAAGCAGGTACAAAACTGTAACTATATTTCAGATGCTCAAAAAAAAAGAAGTGGCAAGTGGAGTGCATTTGAGATGAATTTAAAGACTTAAAAAGAATCTTCTGTGAGGGTTTTACCCTGAAAACTGTCTTAACCGCTAAAGAACAGCATGCAAATTACAGTATTTATTTTTTAATAATTTAAAACTAGCCTTGCTTGTCACTTGCTTGCAAAATGTAAACTATATTATCGCCCAGCTCTAATCTGCTAAATGCAACTATAATGCATGAAGATATTAGATATTATAAACATTAACATCATGATTTTATGTAAAGCAATTTTAAAACAATGTGAAAAGCGTTATACAAATGAATTTGATTTGACTTTAATCTCACCAGACGTGTAGTTAATTGAAGGCTAGACAATCGTTGTGATCCATCCCTGCTGCCTATGATTAGTCAGAACCAAACATATTAAAACAGATGTTGTTAAAATACGACTCTCCCTCTCTTTCAGAGATGACTTCAATATTAAAGTATTGCAAGCTTTTGTTGATCTCCACGAATTCACGGATCTGAACTTGGTACAAGCACTGCGGTAAGTCAGCAGATTTTATATTTGCAACTTTTCTGAATGCTTCATAAAAATATATATGGTTGTTGAATAGTATTCATACAGTTGTTGTGCAGTGCTTGTGTTCCTGATGTGTCCGTACGTTTATGTTTACTACAGGCAGTTTCTGTGGAGCTTCCGCTTGCCCGGCGAGGCTCAGAAGATCGACAGGATGATGGAGGCGTTTGCACAGAGATACTGTCACTGTAATCCTGGAGTCTTCCAGAGCACAGGTCGTACATGCATGCATAATTCCCATCGGTGTTACTTCACTGTTAGTCAGAAATGCACACTGCACAGTATAGTCATAATTGAGTAGGTGTGTCTGGATTTGACTGCTTGTGTAATTCAGAGAACATTTCAGAACTTGTCGACCACAGACCTGTTGCTACTACAGTTCAGGAGTATTTTAATGTTAGAGAGTTAGCCTAGAGTAGACGCACCATGCCTCTCAGTCCTTAAACTCTGTGTTCTCCTCGCAGACACCTGTTACGTGCTGTCGTTTTCCATCATCATGTTGAACACCAGTCTGCACAACCCCAACGTGAGGGACAAGCCCACGGTGGAGCGCTTCATCAGCATGAACAGAGGCATCAACGACGGAGGAGATTTACCCGAGGAGCTGCTGAGAGTGAGTGTGCAGCCGCATAAGAAAGTCAGCGTTGATGTCTCTTCTGAACTTTTCCCAAAAAAAGTCCAATGTTAAAATAATGAAAACGAATGACTTCTGTAGTGCCCTATGATTTCTGTGATGTGGAAAACTTAGACGGAATCGTAGAGTCCAGTCATAAAAATATAATTTACTGTAGAATGTCACTGAATTTGGCATATTTTGCATGAATAAATCAAAAGTAAGTCTATGTGTTTAATCAAATCATGATATGGACTAGTGTCTTTGAATATTAAAGTGCAAAAAGTCTGCTATGACACTCTGTACTTCTCAAAGTAATAATAATAAAAATGTAATTTTAACTGTAAACCATTGTTGGGTAAATTACTTTCAAAAAGTAATTAATTACTAATTACAACATCAATATTGTATTTAATATAATATAATATACTCGCTTTTCTAATTACTCTGTCTGAAAAGTAATTTAGTTACTCAATAATAACTTAATTCTTTAAATCGTTAATTCTAGTTAAAATCCCTATAAACGTTAAAGCAGAGACAATAGAAATTAAACTCTTTATTCTTTCAAATCGAGTCAAGCATGGAATAGTTTAGCGTTTTAGTTTTAAAACAAATGTAATACTTAAACATTTTAACAAAAAATGTAACCTTCTTTGGTTAACAAATAGAATTACTAAAAAATATCTGAATAATAAAAACGCTCAAGAAAAGTTAAACATTATACGCATCAAGCTGTAAGCGTTACATATTTCATGCACACTGACATGCTGTACATGTATTGGCAGTCACTAATACTAATTTTGCCTACTCCTTACAAAAAACATCATTTTGTATTGTCGTTCATGCACATATGCTTGTATTACCACAGTACATAAACAACATTCTGATATTGCGATATTTTATATACTATACTAAATACTTATTGCTTAGCATATTATTAACATCGACATCTGATCAGTAAACACTGAACTAAATATTTATGTAACATTCATCATGGTGCAGTGTAAACATTCCAGTTACTTTTTATATCTATATCGTATTATAAATGATATTTTTATAATATGATATAAAAAAAAAAATCCTTGTTTTGTTCGATGTAGCCTAGTAAAAGCGTTATAGGCTATAGTAGAATAAAAACTCCTATATAAATCTGAATGCATATCGTATTTCAACATATTGCACTCCCTTGCACACATTTCAGTTTGGCAAGATGTTTATGAAAAGCCCAACTAGTAAAATCCATACAAGTTTATGTAAAAATAATAAATTACAGAAATGGCATCCTCTGCTGAATAAAGGCGCGTCAGATCGCGCTGTTCTTCTGAGGTAAATTCCAGTTTATTCCTAATAGCAGGTTTTCTTCCAAAAACGATGAAAAGTAGATGAATCTTATTATTATTTTTAAATCTAGTTTTGTATCTAGGTGAGGAAGGTGTTTGCACACAGGTGTGACTGCAGATAATGAGCTCAGAGACGGGAAAGACTGTTCCTTGCTTTAGATTTTATATGGATTACGTAATCCGAGAATATTCGTTTTCGATTTTAATTGGTTCATTTAAAAGTAGACACCTCAAACTTTCTATAGTCATATTTCTCATGGCTGTGTGTGTGTCAAGTATTCGCTGAGTTTTGGTTCATTTTTGTGACGCGTTGCAGATAGAAGTTCACGGAGACAGAGACGGCAGAAAGCGCACCTTGTTTGTTTTCTTTATTTTACAAAAGCACAATGTTTTGTTGTTATTGTCAGTGTAAACGTATCAAAGTAGACCCATTTTAGGTTTGATTGATTTTAGTCTTATCTGTATCTTAGTATATTAGGTTATTTTCTCTATCACAAAATCCTGCAAGTGAACTCGCCGGCACGCAGAGGGTTAAAGATTCTGCATTCAATTTTACCTTTAGACGATAAATTTAGATTTAAAATTCAATATTGATTTTAGAACTGCTGAAATTATTTACAGTATGTAACGCAAGTACTTTAGAAGTAACTGTAATTAAATTACCTAAAAATGAGCAGTAATCCCTTACTTTACTTTTTCAGTGGATAAGTAATTGAATTACAGTAACGCGTTACACCCAGCACTGCTGTAAACTATGCAGCACTTTCTTTGCAAAAATTCTTTGATTATTCATTTTCAAATATGAATTAAATAGGGGGTTTTATACCTTCATTTGATTACCACCATTTGTGGTAATAAATTTGTATTAAATCCAGAAAAATTAAAACATAGAGCAAAAATTTTCTAAAAAACTTTCCATAGGGTCCTGTTATTGTAAAAATGTTAGTAAATTATTGGATTGTTAAAGTTTTATGAATTCAGTTTATTTCTTTGTTACAATTGTTGCAGTTTAATCAAACCTTTAAAACAGGACCAAAAAAAAAAAAAAAGAGTAAAACTTAAATTGTTGTATAAGTTTCATGATTTCAATGAATTTGACCTGCTTTTTGATCACAAAAAATTACTAAAATATAATCCAGAAAAATTACAATGGGAAACAAATGGAAGAAAAATGAAAGAAAATGTGGAATTAGAAAAAATAAAATAAAAATTGAATTTGGGCATAAAGGGTCACAGGTCTCGGTGTCGCCCCAAATCACAGTCAGTGTGAAAGACTGTTTCAAAGTTTTTTTTTAATAATAATAATTCTTTTTTTGTTTTCTACAGAATCTGTATGACAGCATCAAGAATGAGCCCTTCAAGATCCCAGAGGATGATGGGAATGACCTGACGCACACTTTCTTCAACCCTGACAGAGAAGGCTGGCTCCTCAAACTGGGTGAGTCCCTCCTGATGTTCACGGGGAGCGTTTCTGTTTAACCGAAATTGTTGGCAGGGTCTCTATCATTGCTGTCGCATGATTTTCTGTTATTTCATTGCTGTGCTTTGCTCTGTTTTCCAAAAAAAAAAAA